ATGTAGGACAAAACTCCTGGTTCTCTTTCCCGCCTAACCTTCTACGCGACCCTTTCTTCGCGACCGTGAAGAATGAATCACCAGACACCAGAACAATAGTCTAAACATGGCGAAATGGCCCGTAGCCCATCCGAAACTCACTCGAGTCTCCCAGGACCCCGTCCAATCATACCAATCAGTCCCAAAATATGACACAAACCTACTCAAGGCCTCAAATCACACCAAACAACATCCAAACTACCGATCGATGATCAAAAATTTTCTTTTCACTTTTAAACATTCAAACTTCGTCATACGCGTCCGATTCACACTTAAACATTCCGGAATGACGCCATATTTTATGTACAAGTAACAAATCACAATACGGACCTATTCCAAGGCTCAGAATCCCAAACAAACATTAATAACACCAAAGTCCACTTCAAATCAAACTTAAGAAATTCTAAAATCTTCAAAATTCCAACTTTTCACATGAGGCACCGAAACGCTCCCTGACTATCCGATACTCGACCCGAACATACGCCCAGGTCTGAAATCATCATACGAACCTATTGGAACCTTTAGATTCTGATTCCAAGGTTTTTTACTCAAAAGTCAAACCTTGGTCAACTCTTCCAACTTAAAGTTTCCGAATTGAGAATTTTCCTTCCGAATCAACTCCAAACTTTTCAAAATTAAATTCCGACCACCCGTACAAATCATAAAACATGAATTGAAGCTACTCAAGGTCTCAAATCGCTAAACTACACGCTAGATCTCAAAATGACCGATCAGATCATTACAATGTAGGTGCTGAGAATAGGCTTAAGTACTCTTGATAGCCAGTGGATAAGTGATCATATCTTACATAGTTAGCAATAGAGTATGAGCATGCAGTAGACTTTCCCTTATAGGTCACATAGTCCTTAATCCAGATTGGTGGCTTAGTGACTCTTTTGGCTCTACCATTCTCTGCAACTTGCTCAGTAACACTAATTTCTTCTACTGCTTTTTCAGCTACTTGCACTGATTTATCAGAATCTATTGACTATATATCATGTTGAGAAGCAGATGCATTGTCTTATGTGTTTGTCTCATGATCATCAGTGGTTCTGTTGTTTCTCCTGCTACTGTAGAAACATTTTCATACTGAGTTGTGTGAGAGTGATCTGGTGGTGTATGAGCTTGAGAGTGATCTTGTGATGGTGTATGAGCTTGAACCTGTATGTTAATGTTTGTTATGTCAGTTACTGGCATGAATAGCACATCCTCCTCATTTTTAATCTGCATGGATCTAAAAGGAAAAATCACTCTTTGAAGATTACTTCCCTACTAACAAAGAAGGTCATTGTATCCAGATCAAATAACCTATATCCCTTTTGAGTTTCAGAGTACCCCATTAACACTATCCTTTTTGCCCTTGGGTCTAACTTGTCACCCCTGGGTAGGCTGTTTGCGTAGCACAAACATCCAAATACCCTTAGATGATCCAGTCTAGGTTCATTTCCATAAAGCCGCTCATAGGGTGTCTTTTCATCTAATATAGCAGTGGGTAAATTATTGATCAATTAGACTGCAGTATTCACACACTCTCCCCAGAATTTAACTGGAACAGAACTGTGAATCTTAAGAGCCATTGCCACCTCTAAGATATGTCTATACTTTCTTTCGACTATTCCATTATGTTGTGGTACATACGCACAACTACTTTGATGAACTATGCCAGGAGAAGAGAACATCTCATTACATTGTGAATTGAAAAATTCTGTGCCATTGCTTGATCTTAGCACCTTGGCAGAAACATCAACCTGATTCCTTACCATTGCTAAGAAGTCTTTAAATACAATTGAGACCTCACACTTAGATAGAATTAGATAGACCCATGTATATCTACTAGAATCATCAACCACAATTACAAAGTACTATTTTCTATCAAATGTAACATTTCTATATGGTCCCCATACATAAACATGAATTAATTGAAAATACTACTAGATTTACTCTTACTACCAGGAAAACTTAAACTTTGTCATTGGGAACACTGAGCAAGTTTCCTATACTACATTATTGACTTTATTCTTTAAGCTAGGTATATGTTTCATTGCAACTGCTGATGGTCTCCCAGTCTGCTTCATTTCCACCTCTTGTTACTGCTGCTCCTACTATGGGCTTGAACTCCTTTTGTAGAGTGTAAAGACCATTACTTTCTCTACCAATCCCTATTATCTTGCCATTGTAAAGTCCCTAAAACACATAGAAGTTAGGGAAAAAAGTGGTTGAATACAATATCTCATTGGTTTGACAATGAAAGTAGATTAATTTTGAAGTTTGGGACATGTAACACATTTGTGATTTTATGACTCCCTAAGATCACTGTATTTCCTACACTTGCTATGGATGATTTACTCCCTGTTGGCACTTGTACTCTACCGTCATGTTATTTTTCTAAGTTCCCTGCTTCTTCTAATAATTCCTTGCATGGTGTAATATGATGTGATGCTCCAGAATTGATTATCCACTCACAAGCATATGTGCTAGATAATAATGTAACTGTACCTGCCACCACATTTGAGGTATAGTCAGTTGGTGGTGGCTTGTTCAGCAGGCCCATCAACTATGAGTATTCTTCTTTAGTGAAGAAATGTCCTTATAGCTGATTTTCAATTGTTGCATTATTGGCATATGGTTTGAAGCCTCCAGTAGACTGCGCTCTACCACCCAACTGCCCTGTGTTTCCACCAAATTGTCTAGTTTTTTTCTTGCTTTTGAAATCTGGAGGATATCCTACAATTTTATAGCAGTTTTCTTTCAAGTGAACCTTGTAACCACAGTTCTCACAGATTAACCCTGTGCCCTTTGGTTTGAATCTTTGTGCCTTTCGTGCTAACATGGTGAGTGGATCCCTGTGAGTGTCTACCACCAAGTGTCCTTTGGCTTTCTTCCTAAGTGATAATCGCATTTGCTTCATTAATAGTAACTAGTGGTTTCCTTGCAAGTGTGTTACTCCTTACATTCCCAGAGCTTTCATTTAAGCCCATAAGGAACCGCAACACAGGTTGTGACTTCAAGTGTTCAACAGATAACCTTGATTCCTCACGGTCACATTAAGAGAGTGGAGCCAAATATCCAATTCATCCCATATGTCTTTTATTTTTGTGTAATAACTGGTCGCTGAATCTGTATCCTGTCTCATTGTTGCAATTTCAGTCCAAAGGTGATAGATCCTTGTTAGGTTTGATCGATCGAACCTCTTCGGAAAGTCATTCCACCCCTTTCTCGCATCTGAGGCATAAACAATTCACAGTATTAATGCAATCGAAATTGTACTTCCAATCCAAGACAACGATATCACATTACACTTTTTCCATTGCTCAATTAATTCACCTTTATATCTGCTCTTAGTACAGGAACCGTCTACAAATCCAAACTTACCTTTTCCTCGCAAAGCTAGCTTCATTGCCCTGCTTCACATGGCATAATTCTCTGGCCTTGTGAGCTTAATTGGGATCAAAACTGGCCCTAGAGTATCTCCTGCTTGGAGGAATAGTGGGTGATTATAATCAAGCAAGCTTACCCCATTTCCAGCTATGTCTGCAGAATCTACTTTCTATAGTTAGCTCAATTTCACCGTAGCTTCACGCCGGAGCTGATCCTCACGACCGCCGCTCTGATACCATGAAGAAATTGACGTTGAGGTGAAGCTCTACTGCTCAATCAATGGAGCAATAGATTAGGGCACATGCAACAATGGAATATTCTAGAATCGGAAGAAGTGAATAAAGAAGAGAAAGATATTTTCTTATTACTCCAAAGTGTACAATATCAGCCCCTTTATAGACTTTATCCTCACGTGACTATCATGTGTAATTAACCAACTCTAATAGTATTAACTAACTCTAACAGTGTAACTAACTCTAACAACAATTAGGTTAGCTGACTAAACTGACCACCTACTGCATTTTAACTTCAATAAATAGCTTCATATCGTACTAGCTAATATTTGTATAACAACCTGATTAATTCTTTAAATTAACAATCAAAGTATGATTGTGTTAGCATATCAATTAGTTTAGCTTGCTTTTCTTTCTTCCTTTTTTTTGGATTTATCTTTTTGTTGCTTCATAATTTTATATTATTTGATTAATTACAAGTTAAAGGTATATAATTATCTTTTTAAAAGTAATACCTATTTTTTACTAAATATAAAAGTAAAACAAAAGCTCCATGTGTTATTAGTATAAAAGTATACTAGAGTTATAGGTGCATCATGGTATATTATGATTACTTATATGTTAAATGATATTCATAATATTCTTGGTATACTGTATAGCACACCACCACCACCAACAATAACAACAATAACTTTCCCAGTGTAGTCTCACAAGTTGGACTTGGAGAGGGTAGAGTTTATGCGGTCCTTATCCCTACCTTTAAGAAGGCAGAGAGACTATTTTCGGTACACCATAATTTTAATTTAAGCACGATACTATGATTATCGGTATGTTTAATGGTATTCATGATATTATTTTTACATTAAGTAGAATACCATGCTTACAGTTGAATCATGATATACTTTGTTTGAGTATATAAAATGATATACCTAATATTCTTGGTATACCATATTTAGTGTTGAATCGCGGTATCCTTTGTCTGAGCATGCTAAATGATATACCCAATTCTTGATATACTATACATTGGTATACCATAAGTAGTGTTGAATCATATAATACATTGTTTGAATATCTTAGTATATTAAACATTTGTATACCATAATTTCTGTTGAATGATGATAATCTCATAATTTTGAAAAAGTCATATACAAATATAATAAATAATAATACAGTACCTATCGGTAATTATAATCGATTACTGATTTTGTAAAAAGTATATCAATATTAATTTTAGGATTTGGTTAATTCTCTAAAAAGAATAAAAATAAAAATAAAAATAAAAGTTAAAAAAATGGTAAGGTATTTCGGATAGTAGAGAGATAGATTTAGCACTTTCCAAAAGCAAAACTATGAGAGAAGGCCAAAAAAGACGCCCAAAATTCACTGTGCAGTGTAATAATACTCCGATACTGTAGGGAAGCTAATACGACTTTTTCACGAGGGGTAAATTGGAAATGAACCTTGATGTGCTTTGGAGCTATCATCCATCCATCACCCTTTCCTTCAACAATTGAGATTCTAAGATCAAATCTTTTTCACTGTGAGCTCCCCTTTGTATGCACAGAATTAACAAAGACAAATATGCCAGGTCCAGGACCGCACATGATGTACACATTGGGGTCTGGCTTAGGCCTGATGAGTGTATCTAATGGCCGGTTCAGTCCTCATCACTGCCTCACCTATTCAATCAACGCTTTCTTTGGGCCGGACATTGGATCTTTCTCCGAGTGGCTGACTTCCACCCTTGGATTAGGCAGTGCTTTGGGTTATGCAATCGAGCCGTGGATCCATGACCCTTTTTATTACATACTTATTCTTGGTATTCCCATGTCCATGCTTTACAGCACTGCCTCCAAATTCCTCCTCAAGAAGGGATTGCTTGATTCCGCTTCTGGGGTCAGCCCCTCAACTCTCTGATTCTCTATTTCGTTACTTATAAACAATTTTGATAGAATTGCCCCTAAATTATGTTTTTTTTATATGCAATAGGTGGCGCTAACGAGGAAACAGTGCTTATTCCTGGTGGCTGCAGGCTCTTTGTCACATTTTTTCTTGGACCATCTGTTTGAGGTGACTTTTGCTTATATATGGTCATGTTTTTGTGAGCTACTATAATTTTTCTCTGGTCCTTTTATGAAAACTTTGGTGTAATATAGTGTTTTTGAGAGATATGTAGCTTTTTGTGTTATTGAATCGCAATGTAGTATAGAATTGCATTAAAGGTTTAGCACAGCTGGCGTTCTGAACGTGCCTGCAAAAAAATTGGCTCTGGTCCTTGTTTAATTTAGAGTCCACAAGGTCCTAGCAGCTTCATAAAAGAGAATTTTCATTTCTTTTAATTTTGATCAGTCAATTTTACTGAGCTAAATAGATTGCTTAGAAAGGAATTAACTAGTAGTTGAGGTGCAAAGCCTCCAGTAAATCAAGCCAGGCGTCTATACATAGAAAAATTTATCCTTTACTCCTAAATTTACCAAAAAATTGAAGAACTTTTGATTTTCAAGTAGCATTTGCCATACCATCGAAAGTCTATGGCGATTTCTTTCCCTCCAGATTGATCAAAGCACATGGAAAGGTGCTATATGCCAGCTCTTTCTCCTATCTCTCCTAAGATGAATATTTTTACTATCCAAATAACATCTGCTGGAGCAACCCGTTGAACTTTTAAAAGAGACAAAATGAGTCACCAGCATACAGAAGCTTTACAGCAGTGAATTAATAGATGAGTTCTCTACCTCTTTAGACTTGTACATGAAGCACCAACAAACTTATGGTATATTCCTTCCTCAAATTGTAACCCATAACTTATGGGCCATAACAACTGCATTTTGAACGATGCGCCTAGCAAAAAGGCCATTAGGTACTATTGAGCAGCAAATAACTTTAGAATATCTCCTAAAAAACCTGGGTTCAGAATAGATTTGCTATTTCTACTGAGTCGCTTTCCGTGGTAAAAGAACCAAGGAATTTCTAACAAGACAAGAACATCAGCTATTTATCTTTTCAGGAAGTTTGGAACAGGTGCGAAGTAGGGAAAATGAAAGAAGTGGTTCTGATAATTGTATACTAGTTGATTGTTGAAGAGTTTGTCACACAATAAAATTTTGTTAGATATGTTTAACGATATGTTTTTTGTTGTTTGTACTATCTTGAATATGGTTATCTAACTGGTTGATAACTTTTGCTAAAGGAGTGGCTTCGTAAATCCACATTGTATGAGTACTGTTGTCTGTTGTTGTGTGATTAAAAGTAAAGAGTAGACCTATCCTTATCTACTCTAAAAGATTGAGTCTCTGAAGAGAATTTTGTTGTAGCAAAGATAGTTTGGCGATAGTGGTTATATTGTGGCCAACTTTTTTAATTAGCTTCTACAAGTTTTACTTGGGTTATGTACTACTGGAGGAGGTATATGAATGACTATCCTCACATCTGTAAACCTTCAAGATAGAGCGTGGGAGAGGATGAGGTAAATAGGGACCATATATGAGGAATTGGTTGCGCCCTGTCTCCTTCCCCCTTGATATCAAATATACCCTACCTTTATAACCATAACATCAGTTATAAAACGAGGTATAACCATAATTTCTGCTTATAAACATGTTTTATTTATTCGTGATTTGAGAGATGAACGGAAAAAACTATAGTACTGAATCTTATCAAATCAATAAGTTAATCCTCAAGGGAGGATGCACTGGGTTTCTTGTTGTTGTTGAATCCTCAAGGGAGGCTATTGAAAAACCTCCAAAGGCCTAAAAAAGGGAGGTGGTAATTAGACCCCCGATATCTTTGCTGGCAGGAGGTAGCAAGTACCTGGTGGAGTTGTCGAGGCGTGATTAAGCTGGTCCGGAATTTACTGTTATACGAAAAAAGGGAGGCGGCAATTGGAAATTGTATGTACTATAATAGACAAAGGAGGAAACTTTATTACTATTTGGAAGCATGAATTGTTATTTTAAGTAGTGAAGTCACCTCCTTCCATGTTATAGTTCGTGGGGCTTAATCGGTAAGGCTCTCTAAGAAACATCATAGTTATCTCAGAATCACCCGTTTTCATGGATATCTTTTCTTTGCTTTTAGTGCAAATTCTCTCTCTACCACCTGAATTCAGCAATAGCCCTTTTTGCTTAATTCCTTATTCCTCTTGTAACAGGAAAATGGGAAGTCTACTATGTACACTTGGGTATTGAGCACAGGTTGGTGGGAAGGTCGTGCACCGATTAATCCAGATGCTGTTGTTGTGATTGCTATTTTATGTACCTGCTTGATCGCCGGCTTTATTTACATCAACAGGTGTTTGCTGATGGATTATTCAATCAGATTTTGTTTTGTTTCCAGTTGCTTGGTCTGTCATTAACATGTCATCTTTGGGACGTAATTATCTTGCAGAGTGAAGCCAGTGAAACTGCTCAAGTTACGAGTTATCAACTCTGTCAAGCTGATCTTGGTAATTGCTACCTTATATTGCTTATGGTGTGCAACCCAAATATACTTGGTTCGTCCTCGTCGACCAGCAGTAGGTGAAGAGGCTGATCTTGGAGTCCTTGTGTTTATGGGAATATATTTTTTCCTCCCTCATTGGCTGTGCATTATGTCCATGAACTCAAGAGATCCGCAAGAACTTTTGCCCCTTTGACTAAACAAGAATCATAATGACTAGTGACACAGAAATCTCAAGGCCAATAGTGAGTGAAGCTGTTAGCACCATTTTGTAGAGGAGCTGAACTAGTCAATGTTCGCCGTTTCTTTGGAGCATCTCTTAATCTTTAAGTTCTTGGCAACAGCTAGGCATAAAATTACATTGTTTCCTGGCTCCACAAAGTCAAAAATGTAGAGATTGTGATTTTGGAGCTACATTCTTTGTTCCTGGGGTGGTAAGTCAAACTGTATGGTAGGTCCTAGTAAAATATACCAAGAAACATAGGTCAAGCTTTGTAGTGTTTCTGGTTTTGTTGATCAAATAATTTATAGCTCATATTTACACCTTGATTGTGCATGGAAATAAAGAACTTAGAGATGTTACATGATTCAGCTCCTCTTGAAGTTGTTGAGTTGCAACTTTGTCCATTTGCTCTTCTTTTCAAGATGGCATTTTTGCTCCATTTAGAATTGGTGATTAAACTTTCCCGTACGAGTTTTAACAGCAGAAGGCAAATTGGCTTTCCAAAAGAAACTAGCATGATATTCAAACCCTATTAAATGTTTGTCACAAGGGGAAAAAAAAGGTGAACAAAAAGAAAGAAAAAAATTTAATGCATATTAGAGACCTCAATGCACACAAGAGGGGTTAGGTTAGGTATCATGCGTGCGGAGAACGGGAGACTTGTGTAGGTGCAGTTAGTTTTTTTCTTTCCTTTTTCCAATGAAATTGCTATAGTTAGAAGAGGAGGGTGTTTGGATTGGCTTTTAAAAAGTAGTTTATAAGCTAAAAGCTAAATCATAAATTGGTAATACCTAACTTTTGGCTTTTTGCTTATTTTTATACTTTTCATGCCTAAAAGTGAGTATTTTTAAGTACTTTTTATCATTATCAAACACTACAAAACTAGAAGAATGCTTAAGAGTCAATAAGCACTTAAAATAAGTCAATTCAAACCCCCTCTAAAACTTTATCTAGTTAAGTGATAAATTTAAACAAAAATTTAAAATACATCTCAATTAATAATAATTAGATGCTAAACGTCTTGTAAAATTTGGATTTAATAGCCTCTCTTTCTTTATAAGGTAGGGGTAAGGTTTGCGTACACATTACCCTTTCCTGACCTAAGGTGTGGGATTGCACTGGATTTGTTGTTGTTGTTGTTGAGTGCAACATTTGGACAATGTGTTCAATTGAATGCAATATTTGTGGCACAGAATGTAGATATATATGTGAAAAATAACTAAAATTTTAATAAATATTAAAATTTGAATTTATAGTATCAGTAAATTCAACTCTAAGAATTTAAAGTTGAATCCATCAATTTTATGCTCTAAATCTGCCTCAACAATTTAATGTCTTACTAGATGTATAGGGTGAGTGTACAACAACAACAACAACAATAACAACAAATTCAGTGTAATCTTACAAGCGGGATCCTGGAAGGTAGTGTGTACGCAGGCCTTACCCCTACCTTCAAGAAGGCAGAAAAACTATTTATATTCGAAAAGAATAGGGGTGGCAAATGGCTATTTGGGCTGGTCAAGATAGACTAACTCATTAAATGTTCCATTACTCAACCCTCCCCAAAGCTTACTTGAGTTAAGATGGACTAGATCAAGATAGATTAAACATTAGATTATAATCCAACCCGCCCAAATTGACCCAAAACTTTACACTATTATCAACTTTTAAACAAGCATATATAAAAGTTATCTTATGTTTTGGTATAAATATCAATTCATACCAAATGAATATTTCTTCCCTCAATTTGGATTTAAAATTTTATTTGGCAGTTCTTCATCTTATAATACTAAACGGATATCATGATAATTAAAAAAAAAATAGTATAATTAGAATTTCTCACCCACCCCAATCCACCTCCCACCACCCCAACCCCCGAACGCCCACCCTTCTCCTAAATAGAAATATTTATTTAGATTACTTTCTCTTAGTGCTGTAGATAGAGTATTTTTTTTTTATTTTCGACAAAATGAATATTTTTTTAATGATGTAAACAAAAGTATTTTCTTTCTTTTTTATAAAATAAATATTTCTTTTCATGATGCAGAAAAAATATTTTTTCCACAAAATGAATACTTTCTTTTCATGTTGTAGAAAAAGTATTTTCTGTTTTAACAAAAGGAATACTTTTTTTTTTCATGATATAGAAAAAGTATTTTCTTTTTCACAAAATGAGCACTTTCTTTTCCTGTTTTAGAAAAGTATTTTCTTTTAATGTTGTAAATAGAGTATTTTCTTTTTTATTTCAACAAATGATTATTTTCTTTTTATGATACAGAAAAAGTATTTTTTTTTTTCTTAAAATGAGTACTTTCTTTTCATATTGTAGTAAAAGTATTTTCTTTTGTTCAAAAAGAGTACTTTCTTTTCATGATGTAGAAAAAGTATTTTTTTAAAATTAGTACTTTCTTTTCTTGTTGTAGAAAAAGTATTTTTTTTCATTTCAATAAAATGAGTACTTTATTTTATTTTATTGTGATACCTAAAATATAGCTCAGTACCCATTCTTTATTTTAATGATATAAATTTTATTTGTTACTTTTTCTGTTATAGTAACATGTTTCTTCTTTATTTTCAGATTTTTTTCATGTTAGATGATTATTTTTGTCAACAACAGTTAGTTAAATAAATTATTCGACATCATGAAATAAAAGTACTCATTTTGTTGAAATGAAAGAAAATATTTTTTCTGCGTCATGAAAAGAAAATACTCTAAATAATATTTTCATATATTTAGGGTGGTCAGAGGTAGGGGTAGGGGATGTGGGTGGTGGAGGTTGGTGGAGATGGGGAAGGTGGAAAAAGAATTTTGAAAAAATATTTTCCTTGTCTTGATAGGAAAAATATTGTTCTCCAATCGGAGAAAAGCAAATTCATAAAAAAAAAGTATTTTTCAAACATTTAAACAAACCAAATATAGGAAAATTAAAAAATATTTCAAGCACATGTGTCAAGGTAGAATTATAAGATTGAGCATTTTCATGGGTCAAGGTCGGGCATCATCATGAGTCCAGTTGAGTTGATGATTTTTTATTGCTTAACTTGAACTAGCCCAAAATATTCATTTTCAAAATTATTCTAACCCAAACCCATCAAAACGTGGGGTGAGTTGGACTGATTAAATGGGTTTGGGTTAGTTTTACCATCCCTACAAAAGAAAGCGCCTATAGGGTGAGTTTAAGTATTTAAAAATGGATTAGTTACCTCCTATAGCAAAGGTTGATACCTTATTTATTTTAAATAAATACCCTTATAAAAAATTATATTTCATAGCTACCTTTTGATTTTATATAGCCAAATATCTATTTATAGTCACCTCCTACCCTTAAGCCATAAAATAAGCTTTGTATTATTTTTCTCTCTCCCATCAAATTCTAATAACCACTAAACATTTCTCTAATCTAATTGCGCGTTCTCCCTCTCTGCCCTTAGAACCTAGAGGCTTAGAGTTAGGGTTTCTCTCCAACACAGTAGAAGCCACAGAAAGCATAAGAACGTGGCAGCACCAGCGGCGGCTCCGGCAGCGGCAGAATTAGTTCAATGTTTCGGGCGGAAGAAGACGGCGGTAGCAGTAACCCACTACAAACGCGGGAAAGGCCTCATCAAAATCAACGGTGTTCCGATCGAGTTAGTCCAGCCTGAAATCCTCCGTTACAAAGCTTTCGAACCAATTCTCCTCTTAGGCCGCCATAGATTCGCCGAAGTGGACAAAGACGACAGAGTTGGGGGCTGAGCAACTTGAATTTTCTGTTAATATATTTCAATGTATCTCGCTGTATTTCCATATTTTTCATTGTATTCATTGTCTTTTTTTTCATTGTATTTCAATGTATCTCGCTGTATTATATGCATTTCATTGTATTCATTATCTTTTTTTTTTTTCCATTGTATTTCAATGTATCCCGCTGTATTCTATTTATTTCATTGTATTCACTGTCTCTCTATATTCCATGAATGTATTCGTATGTTTTTTTTAATAAATATAATTTATGTATTCAGATGTATTATATAATTTCTCTGAAGATTGCTATGTTTTTGGTATGTTTTTCAATTGAGAATCTTTTCTATAACTGGAAATACAAAATTTGTATGTTATAATTGAGTTATATTAGGAGTCTATATGTTAATTGATTCACTTTCCGTTTAAAAACAGTGTAATCCCCTGTTTCACGCCGTGAATACAGTCGAATACAATAATTTGTCCAGCTGTAATCCCATGTTTCACGCCATGAATATAGTCGAATACACTCGAATACAAAAATCTGTCTAGCTGTAATCCCATGTTTCACACCTAGAAATGCTACTGTATTCATGAATACAGTAGCTTAAATACATCGAATACACTCTAAAAAATTTGAAAACATAGCTATATGAAGTAATATAGTAAATGGTAGCTACAACTATGTTTGCTCAAAAGTTATCACATACCTTATGAGTATAAAACAATATAAATGAATCACGGGAAAATCATAGCAAACTGTAATAATCTGTTGGATCAAATGAAGAACATGAAAATAAGTACTCAAGGTTAGGAGAAGAAATCTTAACAGCTTTTATTGACAATATTGGTTTGGTCTGCCTCTCCATGAAGAGGTTCAGAGCCTTACAATGGTGTTTTCTCTTCCCATAAGATGGGTATATTTTTCTCTTCCCTCTCTCTTTTGTCAATAGTGGTGAAGAAGCAGCCCCCCTTTTCTAGGGTTCCCTCTCTTGGTATTTATAGCTGTGAGCTTCATGAGCTGGCAATAAATGGTCGTGGCCACGCTGAGGTTCCGTCCCTATGGGGGAATGACTGGGCCGTGCCCTCGTAGATTAAATCGGACAAGAGTCGAATCCTGTTATGAATAAGTGGCCATACCACATATTAATTATGGATTAGCTCAAGACGAGATTAACTCTGTTAATTACCGTGAGATCGGATTTTGACCCATACAGTTATTCCCTCCGCTTATTGAGGTCGTGTTTCGGCCGAGCTCGATGAGCGGACTTCATCGATTGTGATTTTGACGGCGGTGGCCTTAGCCGTTTACACGTTGGAGAGGGTCGTAGCCTTTCATATATGGGAGAGCCTTTCATACATTAGAGATGGCCGTAGCCTTTCATATAAAGGGGATGGCCATAGCCTTTCATATATTAGAGACGACCGTAGCCTTTCATATATTGGGGATGGCCGTAGCCTTTCATATATTGGAGATGGCCGTAGCCTTTCATATATTGGAGATGGCCGTGGAGAATGAGTATGCGCCGGGTACGTATTTGGTCACGTCCAGAATTTTGAATGCGTACAGCGCATTCTTTCAGCGTTCGCAGGCCGTTGCGATTATTCTGACGGCGGGACGTTGGCGGATGGCTGAGAAGCCGCTTCG